ACCTCTAGCATGGAGTGGTGGTGCGCCTGCGCAGTGTTGTGGTAGGTGTATGAGGTGATGTGCGCGTCCGTCGGCCCGTTGCTCTCCGCCGCGCACTCCCACTCCTCCTGGAATACATATACTTCTAATAAGTAAAAATACTTCTTACAAACATTATAAACTGCGAATTTATTAAAATTAAAACCTTACTGATGGTGAAAAAAAATTTAATATCGGCCCACTAGATTTTACGTGAATAAAATAAACACTTGACTTGTAATCTACAGGTCTTGGGTTCGAATCCCGCTGTACCAATGTGATTTTTAAATTTCATATCTTGCAATCAGAAGAAGAAATCAATTTGAATTTATGTCATAATAAGAACACGAGCGCCGCCAAGCGACTTTAGTGCGAACATAGATTATTATGAAAATAGGGATCGTTGTGAGAACATTGTTTGAACGATATGAGCTTGGTAGATCGATGATATCCTGACTGAGGAGTATTGTGAATGTATTCCTGGCATCCGACTTTACCATGGCCGCTCACATGTGATCTCGCGTAGTTGTAATTCTGATATCGTGCTAGCTCAAGCCGACATGTACATAATTTACTCGACGTTCTTACGATGCAGGAAAACATCGTGATGTTTGCATATATCGGGGAAGAAATTCAAACATATGTGAGAAGTCAACCCGCAGTGCAGGTTGACTATGACCTAGTCACCCTAACTTAAGGTAGGATCCAAACCCCTCAGTAGGGACTTATAGTAAGCTGGTGATGAATACATCAAAAATGCAAATCTTTTCTTTTTATTAATACTGATGCTAAAGTTTAGATGGATGGATGTTTGTTAGTTTGTAGCCTAAACTGCTGAATGGATTTGGATGAAATTTGTCATAGATGTAGAGCATAGTCTGAAAGACAGACTACTTACTTTTGGTTTTTTTTCACGCATACGAAATCGCGGGCAACAGCTAGTGGCTTTATAAAGGTAAAATGCCATTGAAATAAACTATATACTTACTATTAAAATATGTATAAAAATAAATAAAAAACATATAAACCGGTAGAGATATTTCGTAGTTGGTTACACAAGGAATGAAAAGGTAAAGATATAAAGATATTTATATAATGTTTAGTGTAACAGTAGCTTATAAATATTCGTTACTATATGTGTATGTACTATTGTTGGATTCAAACGAATTGTTTTTTTTTTGTTTATTTTATCTATTAAAACTAAGAAAAGCATTCAAAAAACCGCTAGAATTTTTATGACAAAGCACATATTTATTAAATCTATATTTATTTAATTTTATTTATTTAGTTAAGACCGGTAACTGGAATTGAAAATAATAGTCAAGATTAAATGTTGTAAACATCGCTATGACATATCGAAGCGTAAATATGATAAATTAATCTTTATTTAATTTTATTAATTTATATTTGTTAATTTAATAAAGATTAAAATAAAATGTCCGTACCGTGGCGTTCTGCGAGGCGGTGTCGAGCTCAGGGACCAAGTTCTGTGCGTTCACACTCGGAGTGAACACCTGCAACACATTTATTTATTTTATTTATCAATAAATTTATTTTCATTTACTAATAAATAAAATAAAAAATTAACACGTCCAATGCCTCCACCTCAAATGGTTAGTTCACTTTTAACGTGAACTTATCGCGACACATACGAAAACTATTGCCATCTCTGTTTTTTTATAAAGAAATAAGTGAGATGGCAACATTTTCGTAATTTATGATCCAACCCACTCTGGGTCACTACGACACTTGTATATTACCATCCTTTTCATTCTGTTTGAGAAAACAGAGAACACAATATAAATGGCTCCTAAGTAAACTATCGTAAGTTTGAAACGCAAACTTTCTAAGACAAAACATTAACACGGTTAATTACGAGGCAGACATGAACATATACAACCAAAAATTACAGTTCTTCCTCACATTCTATTCAATATTACACAGAAATTAGTATTTAAATTTAAAAAAAAAACATAAAACCAAGTATAAACCGCAAAATTTTGGTTTACGACAGTCTACATAGGAGCCAATGATTTGGTAACAAGTGGTTCATAGCAGGCGAATTTTAAATACGAACAAATCGCAGTGGCATTGAATGTGTTACCCTAATCTAACCATAAATGTTTTTACATCCATACATCCATACATACATACTCGTCAAACACTTCATCCACTAAATGTATTGTGTGTTGTGTATATGTTAAAATATAATACAAATAATATGAGGAAAGGACCAGCATTAAATTAATTTAGAACTACATGAGTAACGTCTTTTGTTTCACTTACACTAATGGAGTTAGAGCAAGACAGATATACAGGATTTTTGGTAGTTCTTTTGCTCGCATTTTTTAGTTTAGACAGATAATATATGTTTCAATATTGTTAAATAATCAGTATTTAACGGTTTTTATAAATCTGAATAAACAATGAAGTAATTATGGATAGTTTTTTAAATAAATTAATTAAATTGCATTATGATTTATTTTGAAAAAATCAAACTCAAAAACGGTTAACTTTCGTATAATGTATATGGGGTCAAAATATCAAACGATTCCCTCTGTCAACTCCTAACGGGAATATTTCGTATTACCAAAGATCCTGTATATGACCATACCTTGGTATCTGAGAGAGAGCCGGACCACTCCTCGTTATCCCAGTCTTCTGTGGCAGGGAACGTGTCGCCAATGTTGCCACCTGGAAATGTACAAAATGTTAATTTATAAATTTAATAATACATTGACGAGACGTGTGACAAAATTTGTACATACAAGCCTCACATAGGAATACTTTGTTGTTGTGAATGTCTTTATAGCAAACTGGCTTTCGCCCGCGACTTCTTTTAATTCTACGTGGTTGACACGTAGAATTAAAAGAAATAAAAGTGAGTAGCCTATGTTCTTCCAGGCTATCCTATGTCTATGCCAAATTTCATCGAGATCCATTTAGGTTACAAATTCTATCATCCATCCATCCATATAATTCTAAAACGCAAATAGCCTAATGGTTTGTGGTACGGACTATCGATCTTGCGGTCGAGGGTTGGAATCCTGTCATTCGACTATTGTCGTGAACCATATCCTAGCGCAAGGTTAGAGCTTAGTTGGACTGGTTAAAGGAAATATTAGAAAAATAAGCAAAAATTTATTAATAGTTTAAAAAAATATATAACACGAGCTGTTGCCCGCGACTTCGTCCGCGTGGTATTAGAAAACATACGAACTACATCAATAACAAAAAGCTACGTATCCCTCGGGAATCGGATACCTCGGGGATGAAGCTTATCCCAAATATACTCCAGACTTTGTTTTACATCTGTGCTAAATTTCAATAAGATATGTTGAACTGTCGCAGAATGGTCGAGCAAACATTAAAAAACTAAATTAATGCATCCCACGGGAACCGTAACTTATCCCAGGATAAAAAGTAGCCTATGTGTTCTTCCAGACTATGCTCTAAACCTGTGCCT